AGAAGAAGCCATTTAAAATGACTCCAGTTCAACAATATTGATAAATGATAATGAATAATAGTATGTTTTCTTTGTGCACACTCAAAGAGTGCTTGAAAGAAACAAAGAAAGAGAAAAAAAAACAGATATAGCTCGAAAGAAAGAATACAATGAGGTGCATTATAAATTTATTGTATGCTTACATTCTGAATAATTTTGAGCGTTTTTGAGAACGACTTCAGCTGCAATATAATGGATGCAACATCTTCACCAAGAGCGTTTACACATATTGATAGATTATCCAAAACCTCTTCAATATTTGCTAAACGTTCGCCTATTGTAGAGACAAAAGTTAAAATCCAATTTTTTTTTATGTGAGAATTCTCCAAGAAAATTATTTTCCAAATGCTAAGAGATATATAAATATTGATGAGCAGATACTTGGAGAAATATTATTCGATGACGACGATGATAATAATGGTACCGGTGCTTGTTTTCGATGAGTCTTCTGATTTGTAGAGATATTTTTATTTGATTTATTTATTTGTGCAATACCAGGAGCCGCTGGTACCGGTGAAATCATTGAATTCGATGGAAAATCTTCAAAAAAAGGTAAAAAAATTATAGATCAAAGCGATAATCGTGTTAATTAAATCTTTAGCTTTTATCAACATCAATTATTTTTAACTGGACAAGAAGGCTTAAGAACAGATACATCAGCACTTTCGTTTACAATACAATATCAATATGTATTGTCCCATTGACATAACCTAAAAGACTCTTACCGATAGAAGTTTCATTGGATCGATTAGAAACATGAACATTTAAATCTGTTGATGTTACAAATTCTATTGTACCTGAAAAGAAAAAAGACTATTATGCCTACTAAGACATCGAAGAAGTTTGCTTACTACGATGGCTAGACGATGACCCAAAATTTTCAACAGTTTCAATTGCAGAAGTAACCTCGTTGTTATTGGTCATTTCATTGTGTTGACGTGCAATGTTTGATGATGGTAATGGTGCTGATACTGGATTTGTAACTGCATATAATGAAAGAGAAAAACTGAGCTTAGTGTAAGTCAACACTTTGGAATAATAGTCTAAATAGGCTTTCAGAGATTTTCACCGATTATAGGAAGAACAAAATTTGTAAGATGATATATCTAAAAATTTCGACCATTATGTCCCTAGCTTATTCAGTTGATAGTTTAATTCAAAATAATAGAAATAACATACCCTTCTGAAATACATTTCGACGTATTTCACTATGGTTACCTCGTAAATACTTAGAATTTGATTTTTGATTTTTTTTCTTTCGTTTTCTTGCTGAAATAAAGAGAAATAAGTCAAAGGTATTATATGAAAATGATACAGTTGTAAAAAAAAATGGTACATTAAGTTCCTTTTCCAATTACTAAACAATCATCTTCATAATCATCCTGATCAGAATCATCTTGATCTTTTTCTTCAGGCAATGATGAATACAAATAATCTGTCGAATAACCGTTCATTTGTTTCATTAACTTATCACATAGAGTTTTCGGTCCTATAGAAACCGTAATTTATCAAAGATCATTATGATTTTATTACAATAAAAATCTTACAAAACTTACCGACAGCCAGTAACTCTCCAGATATAACTTTGCCACCACATGTATACGACACATCACCATCTTGAATATTACATTTATCAAGTGTTGCAATCATTAATTCATTGTTAACTCCATTTTTGAAAATGACATGTGTGAAAGCATTGGTCCTAGCAGTCATAATGTATCTATAAATAAGGAAAGTACTACAACAGCAATCTATTAGAAATAGAATAACTGGATTCAGATCATGCAGGGAAAAGTCATAAAACGGTTTCGCTCAATAATCTCTACTCTAGCTTCGCCTACTAGTCATCTAATTTAAACTAATTATTTTGCTATGTTTCTTAAAATCGACAAGAAAAATCTACAACATATCGATGTAAAAACTATAGTCATTATTAAATAAAATATGTATCTCTTATTGTATCTCCTGGTTTTGTTAAATGATAAAACTATATATGCTTTTTTTTGAATATCATATAAATACCAAGCACTTGTGTGCATTCAAATCATCTATAAAAGGAAAAAAAGAAAAATGATTTCAAGATAGAGTTAGTGATATCAGTAAAGCCTTAAGTTATTTAATTGATCTATTAAATAAAAATAGAGATCGTTATAATTATTCACAGTTAAAAAGTTTCACAAAAAGAAAATTTTAATCATGTTCATAATTACAAAGCACTTCTGAAAATAAATGTAAATCATAAAATGGAATAATAACACACTGATGTAGAATGTGCTTCACATTTATAATAGAAAGATCAGATGTGTTCATATCAATTACGCTGTAAAATCGATCAATAAATGAATGTGCAATATTACCAAGCCCATCAGTACGTGTTGTTCTGATAACATTATCGGTACATTTTAATAGTTTAATAAACGCATAGTTTGTAGATTCATAGTGAAAATACCAAATTATGATAGCAAAGCATTTATGTTTTTTTACTGGACACGAAGCGTTTTTGAAAGAAACTATGTTGGTTAATTGTGAACCTATTCTACTATATAGTAATGAACTAAATTTAACAATTCCACGTTGAAAACGGCAATATAAGGAAAAATTCTCATTCATTGCCTCTTTAAATTGAATCTTGTATAAAACTTGGAAGTCATTAAAATAATCGTCATGAACATTTAAATTTACAAATGATTTGTCGAAGATTTTTTCATCTATGAATATACTATTAACAGTGGTTTTTGTATGTTCTTGATTCAATTCCCAATCTCGTAATAAATAGGATTTAAATATTTGAAAAGGGATTCTTCTATTCCATGTTCTGCTTCTCTTCAATGTTCCCAGAAAGCTTTCATCACCAAAGCATCCATGTGCAAATAAAGCTCCATGTGAGAGCACTTGTTCAACAAGATATTTATGGGCATGCAAGCTGTACAGATGAAGTTTTTCATCTTGATAGACAACCGAGATATCTTCACGATATTTATTGAGAAGAGGTTTGACGTTAACAACATCTTGAATATTTTCATAGAAATGCATAACTCGAATGGCAACAAAATAAAGCATGAAATGAGATATAATAGCATCAGTTTCAAATGTAAGTATTAATGGAAGAGATATAAACAATAAAAAAAAACGATAATCTTTTGATTTCCAATAGTTGATGCAGCTGAGAGATGTAATACTTAACCCATGTAAACACGAAACGCAGAATCGATGCGTTGAAACGCGAAAAACGGTTTTATAATGCGTTCCAATGAGTTTTCAGTATGAAACGCATTGAAACGCAATTAGAAAAATTTTGAAACGCATCTGAACGCAGTTTTTTAACACAACGCATTTAAACGTAATTTGAAATCAATATTAACCGCGTCTCATTGCGTTTCATATTGAAATCGCGTTTATACGCAGTTAGTCAAATTCGACTGAATGCGTTCAAACG